AGTCCAGGTCTCACTCTGTCGCCCAGGCTGGAGTGCAGCGGTGTGATCACGGATCACTGCAGCCTCAACCTTCGCGACGCAGGCCATCCTTCCACCTTAGCCTTCCAAGGAGCTGAGACCACAGGTGCACGGCACCACACCCACGCAATCTTTAAATATTTTTTAGAGATGAGATCTCACTATTTGCCCGATCTGGTCTCTAACTCTTAGGCTTAAGTAATCCTCCTGCCTTGGCCTCCCAAAGTGCTTGGATTACAGGTGCGAGCCACCATGCCTGGTCCTGGGGCCTCTCCTCAAATAAGAGCATAAAGCCCATCCATGAGGCTCCACCCTGGTGACCCTATCACCTCCCAGAGACCCTGCCTCCTAACATGATCACCTTGGAGCATTTCAGCATATGAATCTGGGAAAAAGGGTCCGTGCCCAGCCCAACCTTGCCGCAGGCGTCTTGGCATTCAAGCCTCCACTGTGCTTTAGAGGCTTCCGCTTGCTGGCGCTTTCTCCAGGTGCTGAGCATGCATCAGTGGGTCGCCATCCCCCTTTTGCAGACAGGCAGACTGGGACAGGGGAGCTGGGCTGAGTCCCTGTGAGGACGGGTGGGAGTTTCCAGGGAAGCGACCATTTCTAGCTTTTCAAGACTTACACGCAAATCTTCCAACTCCAAAGCCTTCTCAATATGATCTTAAGGCCAAATCTTAATCAAATAAGCAAGCAGGAAGAGTCCAGGGACCCTGGGGGGCTGGTCTCGCTGACGGAGGATGGAAGGGTCCTCTGGAAGTGGCTCTGGCCCCAGGGATCCCCATGCGGGGCTGAGTGAAGAGGGGGTGAGGGTCCCGTCGGGTGGGTCAGGGGAAAACAGAGCGCTTTGGTGGAGCTGGAGGCCGCTGATGCTTGCTGGCCCGCGGGTGGGGTCACCTCACAGTGGGGGTCTTCCCCAGGGCCCCGGCTTGGGAAAGGCCGGGTGGTGTCAGGGTGCCTGTGAGGGCTACTTCTCTGCTGTGCCCTGGTCCCCTGGCCCAGCGGCCACGGCCAGGACCTGGCTGTCTTGAGGAGAGGGAAGCAGAGAGATCGAGAAGGATCCGGAAGAACACTGCCCGCTCCGTAAGACGATCGGAGGCCATGAATAATGGAGAGACACAGGCCTCTGAGGCCTGAGAGCTTGGCCAGCCCCATCCTCCCAGGGATCCCAGGCCCTTGGGCACTGTCCAGGGCCCCGCTGGGTGTGGGGTCGGGGAACTTTCCTGGTGGGGGTCCCGCCTGCCCCTCCGTGCCTAGGGGTCCTGGTGGCCCCCAGCTGTGAGACCAGGTGGGAAACAGAAGCCAAAGGCTGTGTCACCTGATTCTCCAGGAAGGGGAGAGTGGCGGAGTGGGGAGGGGAAGGACGGCCTGCCCTCTGTCCCCATGAATAAGAGATGAAACCCAAGGAGAAGCCTGGGGCGGGCACAGAGGGGAGGTGGCCGGGGAGGGGCAGAGGGAGGGGCCGAGTAGGAGGAGGACTGAGATAGGAGGTTCAGCTGGGGCTGCAGAGCCGTGAGCAGGGCAGGTGCCCGGCTCTCCCAGAGAGGGAGCCGAGGGGTGCCGTGGGCGCGGAGCCCACGGTGAGGCTGCAGGCGCTGGGGGCACGCTGAGCCCCCGGGGGCCGGGGGAGGGCCAGCAAGATGATGCCCCAGCGGAAGAAGAAGAGGAAGAAGGACATCGACTTCCTGGCCCTGTACCAGGAGGAACTGCTGAACTACAACTCGGAGGACGACTCAGAGGAGCTGGAGCACCAGTACTACAAGGCCAAGGGTGAGGGCGGGCGGGAACAAGAGTGCTGCAGGGTCCAGGGCAAGGATGGGCGGAGCACGGGGACTGCGAGGTGACGTGCCAGGCTGGGGTCACAAGTGCCACAGGCGAGGGGGCTGGGAGGTCCTAGCCCCTTTCCGGGGGGGAACCGGAGTCAGAGGGGCTGGCAGTTTGCCCGAGCACGCACAGCTGGGCAGTAGCAGAGTCAGCGCTGCACCGGCTGGACTGGCGGGTGCTTGCTCTGTCCCGCCCCTGTCGACCATGGAGACGGAGGTGGGACGGGGTGGGTGGGTGTTCCCGACATTCCTGGGAGGGCCCCGATGCTCCAGGCTGCTGTAGGCACTGCAGTCCGCGTAGGCAACACATGACTGTCACCTCTCCTTTTGGAGAAGCGGGGCCACTCCCTTCCGCCTCTGGGGCCTGGCATTCCGCAAAGAGTGGGTGAGGGCATGCCGGCTGCTCCTCCTCTGGGCCTCGGGCCGCCTTCGGGCCATCCTGGAGCTCCCTGGTAGCCAGAGGGAGAGCAACCTCAGGGCTCTGGCTATCTGAGAGTCGCACTCAATTCTTCCAGCAGTCTGCGGCCATCCCACCATGAACGCGCCCGACCTCACCTGAGTATTAAAGCAAATCTGTGAACGTTGCTACAGTCAGTCTCTCCTCTTCAGAGCCAGTCGCTGAGTGTGCTGAGCTGCCCCGAGAGGCCCAGCCAAATGGGGGGGGGGGGGTTTGAGGCCGGACCTTGGCGATTCCAGCCCACCCACACGGAGGATGGAATGGCAACGTGTGGTGGGCAGGCGTGAGGGATGCGGCTGGCCTCGAGGCCCTAGGTGCCAGGCCGCAGGGCTTGGCAGGTGTGACAGCAGCGTGCCTCAGGCAGGTGGAGAGTGCCAGACTCCACGGCCACGGAGAGCTGGGGCAGCCATGGCGTCCCCACTCACAAGCAGGTGACCCTGGACGAGTGCCAGCCGCTCTGTGACCCCCGGGAAGCTCAACCCTGCTGCTCAGGGCGTTCGGGGAGCCGAGATGATGCGTGGGAGGCCTCGGGCACACGCGAGAGACTCCGTGCATAACAGCCTGGGCCGAACTGCCCTTGATTAAGCAGAAAAGCCCGTGGCGGCTCCTGGAGCTGAGCGTGGGTTCCTCCAGCAGGACCCAAGCTCAGCTCCTGTGCACACAGTGGGGGCATTCTAGAAGCCCTCGAGGCACCTCTGGCGCTCATGTGGTCCTTCCAGGCCTGTGACTTGCCGGACCTCGTCTTCGGACGAGCGGACCTTGTGGTGTCCTTGGTTCTGCGGTCCCCAGGGAGGACCATGTGGGGTGCAAGGAGGCAAGACTTTCTGGTCTCCGGTGACAGCCAAGCCTCAGGTCTTCGCAGTCGGTGGACACCACAGGAAGCTGGCTCTGCAGAGTCTGGAGCCCACCCCCGACCCTGCCAGTCCAGATCGGGGCCTGCAGAGCTGCCCGCCAAGCCTGCACACACACAAGGGCGTTTCCAGACCACATGAGCATGGGAGAGTGAACAGCCAGGCAGCGTTTCTGGAGAGAAGGCGTAGAGGCCAGGGAGGCTGTGTCTGGACGAAAGGGGGTCTGGGGACGGGAGAAACGTGAGGAATGACCTCCGCAGTCGATTCAGGATACACTGCTACCTCTTACAGAGGACAATGACCACCCAAAATGGATACATCGGGCTGAAAACTAAGGGTCGGGTGCGATGTCTCATGCCTATAATCCCAGCACATTGGGAGGCTGAGGCAGGAGGATTGCTTGAGTCCAGAGGTTCGAGACCAGCCTGGACAACAGAGTGAGACCTCATCTCTACAAACATCAAAAAATTAAAAAATTAAGCCAGGCTCGGTGGCTCAGCCTGTAATCCCGCGCCTTTGGGAGGTTGAGGTGAGTGGATTGCCTGAGCCCGCGGGTTCGAGACCTGTCTGGGCAACTTGGTGAGACCTCATCTCTACAATAAATCAAAAATCAGCCAGGCGTGGTATCATGCACCTGTAGTTCTAGCTACTTGGAAGTCTGAGGCAGAAGGATTGCTGGAGCCCAGCAGGTCGAGGCTGCGGTGGCCAGGAGTGGCCATTGCACTCCAGTTTGGGTGACAGAGTGAGAGTCCAACTCAAAACAAACAAACAAACAAAAAAATTAGATGGCCAACCTCCTTGGGTCCCCTCCCACTATGGGAGCTTTTCTGTCCTCTTGAGAAAGCAGGCTTTCTCACTTAAAGTTAGCCAAGTATAGTGGCGCACACCTGTAGTCCCAGCTACTCGGGAGGCTGAGGTGGGAGGATTGCCCAAGCCCGGGAGATCGAGGCTTCAGTGAGCCATGATAGTGCCACGCCAGCCTGGGCAACAGTGAGACTGACTCAAAAACAAATAAATAGATAAACAAAATGTCAAAAGGAGATTAAAAGCCCCTAACTCAGGGCCCGTGGCGAGCAACCCATCAGTGTTGTCTGTCACCAAGAGCATGACATTTGCTTTTAATGAGTCCCATGCTGTGGGGGACATCTGTCCTGTGGCCTGGGTATTTCGAGGCCCCCACCCCCTACTTTGCTGGTTCCTGCATCGCGAACTCTGTCCTCCCTGTGTAGAGAAGGTGGTTTTTCTCTGCCTCTTTCTGCAGTGAGAGCCTTGCTGCCCAGAGTCAGCCTTGTGGTGGGGCAGGTGGGGACAGTGACTGTGCTCTGGCCTGGGCAGAGGCGACGCGGTTCGGGGCTGCTGGGGGCAGTGACCTTCCCCAGACCTGTGCTGTGATTCTGGAAGTCGCTTCTGGGGGTAGGTCTGGGGCACAAGCCTCCAGCCTCCCGGCACATAGGCCTTTGGGTCACCCTGGTGACCCCGCATCCCTGAGAATCCACCCACATGCTTGCCTACTCTCCCGGGAAGTGGGCAGGGCCCTGAGTGTGCAGACGCCCCGACAAGGAGCTGTGTGGACAGCAGACAAGCCACAAGGGACCGGCGATCAGAAGCTGGTGCCTCGTCAGAGAGAGGCCTCTGCAAAGCCCAGCACACCCAGCCCCAGGCGGCTTGCCCTGAGACTGCCAGGCTGACGTCCAGGAGACTGTGGAGGGAGGCCCGTCCCAGCTGCCTTGGGGAGAGGGCCGGGAGGATGCAGAGAGCCTGGCGGGCCTCTGAACGGGGCCATGTTGGGGGACATCGGTGTCCTGTGCTGGAGAGACCCTGGAACAGGTGTCCGGAGGCCTTGGGCTGGGCTCTGGGGGGGATGCTGGGCAGGCTGTGAGCTGGGCTTGCACCCTGACTGCAGATGCATCGTCAGCAAAGCGAACACAGTCTAGGGTGAGAGTTTGGCTCTGCAGTGGGACGTGGTGTGGCCCAGAGGCTCATGGCGGGTAGCAGGGCTTCCCAGAGCCTCCCCGGCCTCCTTTGTGCCTGGGCCTCCCCATGCGGCTGCCAGGGCTCTGGTTTCTCCAGGCCCATGCAGGATTCTGGTTTACTTTTTTCGGAGCCTGCAACCTGTTGCCTGCCTTCCTCCTCCAGTGTACGAAGTGGTCACGGCCACAGGGGACGTGCGCGGCGCGGGGACGGATGCCAACGTCTTCATCACACTCTTTGGAGAGAACGGGCTGTCTCCCAAGCTCCATCTCACCAGCAAGTGGGTACTAGCCTCGGGGGGTCGGGGGCTGTGGGTCTGGGCTGTGCACATCGGGCACGCTCTGGGGCGGTCTAACCACAGGTGCGCCACGTGCCAAGGACAGACCGCGCAGCAGCCAGGGGCTCCGGGGAGCTCCCACCTCCTACCTCAACCTCTCTTGATTCTTATGGATGGCGAGGCCTCAGCTGGATTCGGGAGTCCCGGAGACCCACCTTGGTGGTCCCCTGATGAGGGAGAATGAATGCTCAGGGTCAAGAAGCCGGGCCAAGTCCTCTTAGCTCCGGGTGACTTTGGCCAAGTCTCTGTGTCTGAGGCCTCGGCTTCTCCATTCGCCACCCCAGGGCTGGTGGAAGGGAGCATGGGGAGGACCACAGGTGTGAGGGAGCCAGGAGCTTAGACTGCTCCCCCGGGCGTGGCGCCCCGTGGGAGCTGTCGCCGGGGATCTGCCCTCAGCTGCAGGGGCCGCTGTCATGCATTCATGCATGTGCACCCGTGTCCTCCACGTGAGAAGCCGGTGAGGCAGGGACTGCTTCCTCCTTTCGGTCCTCTTCCCCACCACACCACGCACAGATGCACCCACGGTGAAGCCTGGGAACATGGTAGCAGAATCACACAACTTCAGAGACGGCTAGGGGACTCGGGTGGTCTACAGCTGGTTTTCTTTTCTTTCTTTATTTTTTTTGAGATGAGGTCTCCCTCTGTTGCCCGGGCTGGAGTGCAGTGGCATACTCACAGCCACTGCAGCCCCGACCTCCTGGGCTCGACTGGGCCTTCCGCCTCAGCCTCCCAAGTCACAGGGACTACAGGCACCCCCCACCACGCTCCACTGACTTTCTGATTTTTTGTAGGGTGAGGTCTCGCTGTGCTGCCCAGGCTGGTCTCCAACTCCTGGGCTCAAGCAGTCCTCCCGCATCGGCCTCCCAAAATGCGAGGATGACAGGCGTGAGCCCTGACACCTGGCCTGGTCAGCTGGTTTTTGATCTGGGCCGAAGGGAGCAGAGAATGGGGCAGTTGATTCTGGGCTCAAGATATGTTTGAAAACAACCGATCCAGCCTACTCAGAGGGACATGGAGGCCTGGAGAGGCACAGGGAGCGGCTCAGAGTCTTGGAGCTTTGTGACAGTGAAGCTGGTCCCCACGTTCTCGGCCTGGAGGCTTCTCTCAACTGCATGGCCCTGTGGCCCTGCGTGTGAAGACCCCCCCAGGCCTCCTGGGGCTCCAGGCTGTGGCCAGGGATGCGGGCCTGGCACCTCCAGGGGTGGCCGGGAAGCTGGGGAGGGGTGGGGTTCCCAGGGTCCACGAGCGTAACCTCCCCTGTGGCCAGGGGTGCATGACCTGGCACCTCCAGGGGTGGCTGGGAAGCTGGGGAGGGGTGGACTCAGTATCCACAGGCATAACCTCCCCTTTTGTCCATTTCACAGAACAGGGTACCTGCCTTCTTGCTCCGCTCGCGCTGCAGTGTGGCGCTTGTGGACGGCTTTCCTGCGATGCCGTGGGATGGTAACGAGGATACACGAAGGCCCAGCCTCTTTGCCATGTGTCCTCTCAGGCTGCACCACCATAGGGGGAAGCCACTGACCCCGGGGGTCCCCAACCTCCCCTTTATTTTACTCTGTTTTAGTTTTATTTTTTGGTGTCAGGATCTCACTGCAATGCCCAGGCTGAAGTACAGTGGCATGTCATAGCTCACTGCAGCCTTGACCTCCTGGGCTCAAGCAATCCTCCCACCTCAGCCTCCCAAGTAGCTGGGACTACAGGTGTGTGCCACCACACCTGGTCAATTTTTTAATTTTTATTTTGCATAGCAACAAGGTCTCTATGTTGCCCAGGCTGGTCCTGAACTTCTGAACTCAAGCAATCTCCCTGCCTCGGCCTCTTAACGTGCTGGGATGACAGGCATGAGCCACCATGCCTGGATCCCAGCGTCTCTTTTAAGCAAAGTGAACTGTTTTCTCGTTCTGTGGTGGTCCTCTCTGTCTTTCTTCCTTTCGTGCCTCTGGTACCTGCAGATCCTCCCCTCCCATTTTCCATTTATCAAACCTTCTCCTGGGAAGGGCCCCCAAGTCGCCTTCTTCAGCTGGTGTGTGAGATCTCCCCAAGGCCACATTCCCAGGGGCCAGTCTTGCCTCCCTCTCACAGGAAGGCCCCGGGTACCCCACCTGCTCCCTCTCGTGGGAAGGACAGGTGGCCACATGGCGCCGGGGCCTCCTGGGCCTGCTGGCTTCTGGCAGCCAGCCCCGAGGGCAGGAAGCCCCCCTTTCCCGGGCTCTCTGGCCATATCTGTGCCATGCTCTTGACCCGGCAGCAGGGCACAGTCCTGGCAAGGCCCCCAGTCCGGCTGGTCACAGGGGTTCTAGCGCAGCGTGGGCGTCTCAACTGTGGAGGCAGGGTTTGGAGGCCGGTGTGGAGTCCCAGCCGGTGGCCGGAGAGGCTGCAGAAGGGTTGAGGAGGAGACGAGGCAGCGGAGGAGGGGCTGGGGGAAGGTCCGCCCTGCCAGCCAGCCTCCACCCCAACCCCTGGATGGTCAGAGCTCAGCCCAGGCCTGTGGCACCTGTGTGGCTGGAGACAGACTTCCAGGGAGGGGCGTGTGTCTGGGCCTGGACTGCTGAAAGGACTCGGGCAGGGGAGGGCCGACGGAGGGTCCCGCAGACTAGGAGGAGAGGGCTGCAGGTCTGGAGGCCGGCCGCAAGAGACTTCGGGCCGGTGGTGGCTGGAGGAGGCCCAAGGCTGGGAGCGCAGGGCTGTGTCGAGGGGCGCGGAGGGGAGGCTCCGAGGGGCCAGGGAGGCCAGACTGAGGAGGCCTGGCTGGGACGCTGGCGGGGAGGTCGGACTCCCTGGGGCAGTAGGATCAGCTGACCACGTGAACGGGCTGGGCGGGGATGGAGGAGGTGGGGGGGTGCTGGCCTCAGGAACCCAGTGGAGGTCTTCGGGCAGGGGTGGGGTTGGGCTGGTGCAGACACAGCCCGCAGGTGAAGGCGGTTTCATTCAAGACAGAGCCTGGAGGGGAGCTGTGCTTGCTGTGGAATGGGCCCAACACAGGCAGCGGAGGTCACCCTGCTGGGGAGACCAAGATGCAGTTAGGCCAGCCGTGGCTGCTCCCTCCCGCCCTGGACTGGCTCGGAAGGCCTCTGGTAGCCCATCTGCTCTCTCTCCTCCCTGTGCCATGCTGCACTGAACCCAAGCCCACGGGGCAGCGGGAGCTGAGGGACCGCCTTTTCCTTATGCACGCACAGACAGGCATGCACACACAACACGATTGCACACACACAGCATTGTTGTGTGTAACTGACATCACCAGCAGCCCTGGGCACGCGAGAGAGCCCGCCTACTCAGTTCCCTCCCTCCCTTCTCGGTGCCTCTGTGCCCCTCACCCTGTCTCTCTCTCTCTGCTTCTCTCTCTCTCTCTCTCTTTCTCGTCCTCTCTTCTGTCTCACCTCAATTCCTAGCTGTTCTTGCACCTTTTTTCCTGGGCTCCTGGACATACTCTCATTCCCAAATGCCTTAAGAGGATTTTTTTTTTAAGAGACAGAGTCTCCCTCTGTCACCCAGGCTGGCGTGCAGTGGCACGATCACGGCTCACTGCAGCCTGGACCTCCTGGGCTCGGTTGATCCTCCTGCCTCAGCCTCTCGAGGAGCTGGAACTACAACCACGGGTCATCTCACCTGGCTAATTTTTTTTGTTTTTTGTAGAGGCATGGTCTTGCTATGCTGCCCAAGCTGGTCTTGAACTCCTGGACTCAAGTAGTCCTCCTGCCTCAGCCTCCCAAAGTACTGGGTTGACAGGCATGAGCCCCTGCACCTGGCCTTTACTGGGATTGTTTTCCCCAATACAGAATAATTCCTACTCCAACAGGGACCTAGGGGCCTGCTGCGAGGAATTCGATGTGTCTGCTTACACACCCACTAGTGAACCCCCACCCACCTTGGCTCAGTGCCCACAGCAGTGGCTTCTGGTGAAGGCCCCCACCCAGGTTCCCTTGTCCCGTCCCCCTGACCCAGGGCCACCTCAGTACTGGGTCACATGGTCACAGATGGCAAAGGGATGGACTTCCATGTATCTTCCGGAACGTGGTTCTTCTGCTGAGAATTCACCACCTGCGAGTGCCAGCGAACATCTGGCATCTTAGCCAGCTGGCTCTGCCTGCTTGTGGCTAAAATGCTCTGTGCATCTCGGAAAGGCTCTCGGTGGGGTCCCCGCAGGACAGGCGGCATGGGAGGGGCTGTGCACTGCCTTCGCTTGGTGGAGGAGCGCTGGGAGCCGCGGTGAGGCCCAGTCTCTCGCCCAGACACGGGGCGTTTCCTCTGGCCGCAGACCCTCTGTCCTCTGCGGTTTCCTTCCTGCCCATTTTAGGAGACTCTGCCCTGAGTGCATGAGGGCCGGGGGCTTGTCTGGGACCATTCCAGCCCCTTCCCCTGGGAAGGGAGTTGGGAGACCCCTCTCCCCAGTTCCTGCGATGTGGAAGGCCTTCTCCTGGTCTTCCCAAAGAGGCTGGCCTCCATCCCGCACGCATGTGGTCCGAGACGGCGTGGTGCCCCTCTGCCTCCTGCTCTGTCCCTCCCGGCGGGACGCTCTCCCTGGGTTTCCAGGGTTCCACAGCCAGCCCCACCCACCCTGCAGGTGACCACAAAGTACCCTGGTCGGGTACCCCACACACTGGCCCAGCCCCAAGGGTGGCGGGCTCTGTTCCCACTGATGCTGTCTGGGGGGCAGGGCCTTTCTGAAGCCTGGGCTCCCTGACACCGAAAGCAGCTGTTGGGTTTCTCTTCTGGTGCCTTTGTCAGAGGCACCGCAGAAAGCCACCTGTTTTTGGCCAAAAATGGGGCCCTCGCCCGCCTCTTCCCTACTCACTGGCATGGCTGTTCCTCCAATTCCAGACACCCTCGGAAGATGCAGCCCAGACCTCCCCAAGCCCCTCCTGAAGAATTCTGTTCCCAAAGTCTGCAGGGGGTGCCAAAACACAGAATTGTTCCTTTTCCTTTTTCTTCTTTCTGTGTTCTTTTTCTTTTTCGAGTCGGAGTCTCACTCTGTCACCCAGGCTGGAGTGCAGTGGCACAATCACCGTTCACTGCAGCCTCAACCTCCTGGGCTCAGGTGATCTTCCTAACTCAGCCTCCCCAGCAGCTGAGACTACAGGTGTGCCCCACCACACCTGGCAAATTTTCTGGTTTTTTTTGGCAAGACAGGTCTCGCTATATTGTCTAGGCTGGTCCCAAATTCCTGGACTCAAGCAGTCCTCCCTCTAGGCCTCCCATAATTACAAAAACACGTTGGAAAGTTAAAAGCAGAGGTGGAAGGAGCAAAGAGCCAGAGCTTTGTGTGGGCTCGCCACCCAGATGTGATATTTTGCAGAAATCCTCTCCTCCATCGTCTTGAATGAAGGCAGCCCCGTTAGTACTGACTGTTCCGTTTGCACACTGGGTTCTTAAGCTGCTTCCTTTCAGGCCTCTCTCACAAACTCATTGCCGTTTCGTCAGACACTCTTTTATAGCCGGGTTTCCACTGGCTGTGAAGTCTTTCGCCTCATCACTTCCCAGGTGGCTGCTCCTGACAGTGCCTGCGTGAGGCAGGGACGCATGTCGGTTTGTCCTAAAGACCAGGCCGTGTTCATTGACACAGAGAGTGCCTCGTCTTCCTTCTCTGCTCCCCAACCGCACAATCCTGAGTGCAGAAGTGACATCCACATGTTTTCCCGGCAACTGACAGCCCAGCCGTGGCCCTCAACCCAAACACGGGCAACCGTTGATGTCCCCGGGGGAAGGGGGGCGAAATCCCCACGCCAGCCAGACCCCACGACTGCCGGCAGGTTTAGCTCCCGTTGAATGTGGAGTCTGGGAAAGGAGGCCTGGCTGGCTCTCCGGGGGAAGCCTTGTTTCCCTGGGTCTCCCCCGAGAGTCTACAGTCCGCGTCCTCCTCTTCATCATGCCGGTGGAATGGGGGGGTGCCGCCTCCTCCCTCCCCAGGCTCATGCAGCGTCCCGTTCGCTCCAGCAGAACCCAGAGGGCTGCCCCCCTCCGCCTGCACCCAGTGCACCTCGGGGTCTCCTCCCTGGCAAGGCTGCCTCAGAGCGCGGTTCTGAGTCCCCAAGCTCTGTCGGCAGCAGGAGGGCCTGGTCTGCGTGAGGCCCCCCTGGCGACCGCTCCTCCCCAGGGCAGGCTGCTGGACACAGTGGGCCCGGCTGCAGGATTGCAGCTCAGGGTCTGTGGGTCTCGAGAACCTTCTGCGCCGGAGCGCCGGGGGTCCTCTGGCCTCGTGGGGGGGGGGCGCCTGCTCCTCACTCTGACGCACTCTGCCCCTCTGTGGGGGGCTCCCGTGGTCTTCTTCCCCCTGGCTGGGCTGGTGCTGAGCTCCCCGAGGGAGGCCGCAGCTCTCAGGCCCACCGGCTAAACCGCGGCTGCCGCAGGTGTGGGCCTCCGGTGTTGGTGCCACGGACGCTTGCCAACGGCGCCGGGCCACCTCACTGCCACGTCTCAGTGCATGCTTCCCCGCTCACGCCACTTGCAGGGTGTCGGCTGCACACGCCTCACGCCCCTCCCCTGGCAGTTGGCTGGGATTGCATGCTTCTTTCCTGCCTGAATGGCGGGGCCACAGCCCACCCCCAAGGTCTGCATCTGCTTGGGGCGGCCGTCGGGACTCTCCCCCCGCCAGAGCCAGGGTTGGGAGAGACAAGCGGCCTGCAGGCCGAGGCGCCCGTCACATCCTTCCGCCTCCAGCTCCCACCTGAGCAGCCAGAGAGCATGGGTCAGGGCCCAAGAGCTAGGATCCCTCTGGCTCTGCTCCCCACTGTCAAATGGGGCCAGGGTCGCCTGCCTGGGGATAAGGTATTGTGGCCCTTAGAGGGTCAGGTGAGTGCCGTCGAGGTACAAGGAGTGGCGTCCCCCCAAGTCCACCAGAGGGGAGTCCTGGGCTGGGGACTGGCTGCTCTGGCTCTTCCCAGGAGTGGGGCTGGAGGAGGAGGGAGTGTCAGCCCCTTGTTCCCATCCTGGGCCGGGCGGACCCTGGCCTGCACTCACTGCACACGTGTTCACCGCAGGAGCGAGTCCGCCTTTGAGAAAGCCAATGTTGACGTGTTCCGGGTGAGAACCAACAACGTGGGCCTCATCTACAAAGTCAGGTGAGATGCTGCGAGTCAGCAGGGGCCCTCGCCACGGGCACCTGCCGGGTATCGGCTGCTTGCCCCAGCACTGGGGGAGGGGTTGCCTGGGCCCGCATCGCTCCTGCCTGAATCCCAGCGCCCTAAACTTCCTTATTAGAGATTCACTTCTTTGGGTCAGGACACTTCGAGGTAGTTTTTCACAAACTCCAGAAACGGGCTGAGGGACATGAGGGCACAGAGGTGGGAGCAGAGACTCTGAGTTCAGAATGCTGGGGCATGGGTGTCCCTGCCGCTGTCACTAGCTGCGGGATGGTGGACAGGTCACCTCCCCAACCTCGGTTTCCTTCTCTGTCGCAAGCGGAGACTCTGAGGCCAGCCTGCCCGGGCACGGGCGCCCCTTCCACTGTTACTAGCTGTGGGGTTTGGGGCAGGTCATCACTCCAACCTCCGTTTGCCCCGTGTCGTAGCCTCAGGACTGGGTGAGCTGTGATCAGAATAGTCCTGGACACACACAAGCATTCCGCAGGCAGCAGGGACACCGGGCCATGTGGCAGGTGCCTCTGGGTGGAGCGCCTGGTCTGATTCTCTCTGGGGTCCTGGGGAGGCATGAGGGGAGACTTCACTCCTTGCCTGGTGGCCCAGAGGCCCCTCCGTTGCCCCTTTCTCCTCCTCACCCCTGCCCCCCCCAATTCGAATTCAGGCCGTTTGTCAGAACATCTGCCTGGGGTCTGAGGGCTCCCTCCCGAGGCCGGGACAGGGCCGGTGGCGGCCTCCGCCCCGTCCTGGCTTTTTCCCTCCCACTGGGTATACGGGCCTGTGAATGGTCTTCACGGGGGAAGGAAGAGGCCGGCGAGGGCACAGGTGCTGGTTGTGGGGAGGGAAGGGGGTCCAGGCAGGGAAGGCCTTGCAGGGCAGGGCAGGAAGGGACCGGGCGTGTGTGAGGAAGGACAGCCTCCGCCGAGGGCCTGCCACATGCCGGGCCCTGTGAGGGGACCCCAGAAAACCCAGCATTTACAGACAAAAAGTTGCGTGTTTGCTCTTACATGTGAAACTCCAATCTTCCCAGTCCTCTCTGTTGGATGAAATGCACCAGTCCAGATGCTTTTTCCATTCTCAAAATGGTTTCTGAACGTGTTCATTTTGATGCCTTTTCACGCTTCTCCCGTTTTTTTATTTCACCTTTCCCACAGCCTCAAAATGTTTTCCTTTGAGGACTTTTTTCATTCGGGGGATAAAAAGTCACTCAGGGCAAAATCGGCTGAGTGGGGAATGATGGGGCACGGGGGGGCATGCCGGTTTGGTCAAAAACCGCTGAACACTCAGGGTGGTGTGGACAGGTACGCTTGTGAATCACCCATCAGGAAATGGACCAATGTGTTGAAAGAATCTTAAAAAAAATTCACTGAAGCCGAACGCAGCCTTGCTCAGCAATGCCAGCTGGTCCACAGAAGCCGATGGGTTCCTAGAACACCCACCTCACAGGGGAAGCCTGTCCTACAGGGGCCTGCTCTCCAAAAGATAATTCCGGGTATTCTGGGGCCACCCTTGTCTGCCAGCCAGTGGCACGCGCCTCCTAGGGAAGGGCTCACCCTGTTCCAGTGTCACCGTCTGCTAGGCTGTGGCTGCGCTGAGCTGTGGTTGCCCTGTGCAGACCTCCTGGAATGAGATGCCCATCACAGAGGGAGGTCCAGTGTCCTGAAACCCTGGGCTCAAGCGATCCTCCCGCCTCAGCCTCCCAAAGTGCTGGGGTTACAAGTGTGAGCCACCATGCCCGGCCTCAGTTTGTATCTTTTAAAATGTGGCTCCTAGAACAATTTAAAATGACACCTGTGGTTATGTCTCTGGGACAACCCTGGCCCCTGTGGCCATGGGGGCGGTACTCTGGGTGGTGGGACCGGGGGAGTATCTGCTAGTTGGGGTGTGGGAGTTGGGAGGAGAGGGACACACTGGACCGCCTCAAGCCCAGGGAGGGGCAGTCTGAGCCCCAGGGGAAAAGTCACGCCCTGCGAGGCAGAGGGTCTAGGAATCAGTCTGTTCTGCATCACTGTAAGGGAACACCCCTAATTTATCAGAAAAGGGGGGTATCTGACTCATGGTTCTCCATGGTGCTGGTTTCCGCTTCTGGTGAGGCCACAGGAAGATTTCGCTCATGGTGCAAGGTGGGGAGGGAGCAGGGTGTCCTGCGGAAGGTGGGCAGGGGAGCACGTATGTTCCCCGGGGGGTTGAGAGCAGCAGGCGTGCCCCATGATGGGAGCAGAGCAGGAGAGAGGGGAGGTGTCAGGCTCTGCGAACACCTGGCTCCTCCACACACAGAACTCGCTCACGACCTGCAAGGACGGCCCCAAGCCATTCCTGCCCCACCCCCCCATGACCCAGCCCTTCCCGCCAGGCCCACCGATACTGAGAGGCACAACTCAGCCTGAGATCAGGGGAGGGAATTGCTGTCTAGTCTCTGCCCATCCTGTGGGCTTCTGCTTCCTGTGTCCCTCATCCTCACCCCTCCCTTCAGTGGCTCTCAGTGAGCTTCTGCATTGGCCTGACTTGGCAGGACGACCTGTGTGCCCCGGTTCTCCCTCCTCCCTTTAGTGGAACCTTGCGCTCTCCGTGTTGACCTTGTTCGGGGGGTTTTGGGAATGCCAGATGTGAACACGCTTGGACTGGAGCGGCAAGAGGGAGCAAAGTTTGAAGGCGGGAGCCACACCACGAGGTTGGGCCCTGACGTGGAGGCCAGGCGGGTCCCGCCGAGGCCATGGAGGTCCCGGGTCGTCTCGAAAGGCGCTATTTCCTTGCAGGCAGGGGGGCAGTGCAACGTCTGCTGACGTGCACGTCCACCTCACCAGGTGCCCCCTTTTGTAGACGAGGAAGTGGAGATGGGGGAGACAGGGCAGCCACAGCAACACCACAGGACCTCTCTTTGCAGTCAACGTTTGGGTCTTTCGGCCAGAAGGGCTTCAGGAGAAAAGCCAAATTCCATCATTGCAGAACATTCAGGAAAAAGAGACACGCAAACATTAAAAAAGAAAAAAAGGCCCGGCGCAGTGGCTCACGCCTGCAACCCCAGCACTTGGGGAGGCCCAGGCAGGGGGACCACTTGAGCCCAGGGGTTCAAGGCCAGCCTGGGCAAGGTGGTGAGACCCAGCTCCACAAGCAACACACAGCTAGCTGGGCGTGGCGGCGTGGAGAGGGCGCCGCCTTGGTTCTGCCCGTGACAGGGTGGCCTCGGTTTCCATCCAGGATCGAGCACGACAACACGGGCCTGAACGCCAGCTGGTACCTGGACCGCGTGATCGTGACCGACATGAAGCGGCCTCACCTCCGCTACTACTTCAACTGCAACAACTGGCTGAGCAAGGTGGAAGGCGACCGCCAGTGGTGCCGGGACCTGCTGGCCAGCTTTGACCCCATGGAGATGCCCAGAGGTCAGTGCCCAGGCTGGCCTGTCGGCCGCCTCCACCCACACCAGGCGTGCCTGGCCTCTGTCTTATTCTGGCTCCTCCAGGGCCTTCTGGCTGACGAGGGTGGGGGACGGTTCTTCCTTGTGGCCAAGTTTCTGCACTCTGAGGCTCAAGGAAGTGGACACATATGGGGTCTTGGAGGCACGATGGAGGGACAGGTGCCCTGAGTGAGCCTGTCATTCTTAACAGCGCCTGTGGGTGGGCGTCGACCGGAAGTCCCCCCCCTGAGGTCAGACATGCTTTCCGTCCCCCTTGTGTTCCTCGTCCCTTCCCTCCCCTAGGTTGTGCCGGGGAGGGGCACCACAGCCAGGGCGTGGCGGTGGGAATACAAGTTTGTCCGCAGCGCCAGCGTTCCACCACGCTGCCCTGGCTCTGTCTGATTTTATGAGGAGTGAAACAGCTCGCTCAAGTGACATCCCCTAGCTGAGGCCTTACATTCGGTCGTTACAGTTCTATAGGCGTCTGTGGGAGGGCAGGTACCTTTGCCCCACAAAGTTCTGAGCTCACCACGCCCATCACTGTGCACATTTGCTCTGCGAAGAAGGGGGCGTTCCACGCTGGCCCCGGCACCAGAGCAACCTGCTCCCAGCGTCGGGGGTCACTGGAGGGGTGGGACTGATCCGAGGCCACTCCTGGAGCAGCGCAGGGCTGACATGCCCGGCGGACGCTGCCTTCCCGGATGCCCCTGGGCGGGGTCCAAGTTCTAGCCTCTGCCCTCTGCCCCAAAGGGCGTCGCCCTGGGTTTCTCCATCTCTGACCTGCTGCCTCCAGCCAGCCTTGACACATGACTTGCTCCTCTGTGTTCGCCACAGTAACTTGCAACTTCGTTGCTTCTTTTAAGACATGTTGTTGATCTTTGCTCTTACACAAAAGCCGAAATTGATCATTGCAGAAAATTAGAAAACAGAGGTATGCAAACATTAAAAAAAAAAAGAGAGAGAGGGAGACTGGGCACTGAGGCTCACATCTGTAATCCCAGCACTCTGGAAGGCCGCGGCAGGAGGATTGCTTGAGCCCATGAGTTCAAGACCAACCTGGGCAACACAGTGAGACCTTGTCTCTACAAAAAATAATTAGGTGGGTGTGGTGGCACGCACCTGTAGAGTCAACTACTCAGGAGGCTGAGGCAGAAGGATCACTTGAGCCCAGAAATTCAAGGCTGTAGTGAGCCATGATCTTGCCAGTGTATTCCAGCCTGGGTGACCCTGTCTCTAAAAAAGAAACAAGGAAAAGAATACTTGTAAGCCAGGTACGGTAGCTCAGCCTGTAATCCTGCGCCTTTGGGAGGCTGAGGTGAGTGGATTGCCTGAACCTGCGGGTTCGAGACCCGCCTGGGCAGCGAGACCTCATCTCTACAATAAATAAAAAAAAAAATCAGCCGGGCGTGGTAGCGCGTGCCTGTAGTTCCAGCTACTTGGAAGGCTGAGGCAGAAGGATCGCCGGAGCCCAGCAGGTCGAGGCTGCGGTGGCCGGGAGCGGCCGCTGCACTCCAGACTGGGCGACAGAGTGAGACTCCTACTCACACACAAAAAAAGAAAGAATACTTGTAATTCTGTCACCTGGAAAGCCACACTGGCGACATTTTCTGCCTTCGTTTCCAGTCTTTTCTAGGCATACGCAGTTTGAGGAATGGGCTGGTATAGCCTCCCCTGTTTTACACGACCGTTTCTGGGCCGCTCGACCTCCCTCAGCACTCCTGCTTGTGACACTGTGCCGTGGCCCAAGCCACGGAGAGCGCTGGTCATTTGCTCCCAAGGACACGCACACTGTGTCTCCGCCTAAGGTCTTTTGCCCCTGTCAACATCTATGATGAACAACACACCAAGTCTGTGTGCACAGTCACGATGCTTTCCTTAAGATAAATCCCGAGTGGTATTCCTGAGCTCAGTGGTGCATATGCGGCCGAGGCTTTTGACGGGCGTTTCCAAATGGCTCGAGAAAGGGTGCGTATGTGCACAGCTCTTGGCTCTCACCCTTGTCAGCACGTGGGAGCATTGTTGGCTTTTCTAGTTGGACAGGAAAAGGGGATTTTCTAGGTTCTTTCTTTGGTTACTGGCGAGGCTGAATATTTTTCATGTTTATTGGCAATTGTGTGTGTGTGTGTGTGTGTGTGTGAGAGAGAGAGAGAGACAGAGAAAGAGACAGAAAGAAAGAAACAGACAGAAAGGCACATAGAGAGACAGAGAGAGAGTGAGACAAAGAGAGAGAGAATCAGCTCCTGTGCTCTCTATCTTTTCAATTCATGGGTTCGTCTGTTCTGCATGGCTGTGAAGGAACACCCGAGGCTGGCAATTTATAAAGAAAAGGGGGTACTTGGCTCACAGTTCCGTGAGGCGCCGGCATCTGCTCCCTTTGTGGTGAGACCCCGGACGCTTTCCTCGTGGCAGAAGGCAGAAAGGGAGTAGGGGTGTCCCATTATTCCTTGCTTCTTCTTTAACTTCCTTTTACAAGTTACATTCACGTGTAAATTTATTTTAGCAAGAAAGTCGATATCATGATCACAAAGAATGCCTGTTGCCGTTTGCTGTGAGCATCAGGCACACACGAGTGTGTATGAACACAAAGCACAGCTTCAGTGAACTTTCTCGACCACGGCTGGCCCCCGTCACCCTGGGGGTGTGAGGCCTTCACTCCGGGACATGCCACCAGCCCCGATCCGAGGGGGCAGGGGAGCAGAGCCCGGGAGGCAGGGGAGGCAGGCGTTAACTACAGAGATGGGCAAACTGAGGCTCAGGGAGCTGGTGATCCGTCCAAGGCCAAGTGCCCATGGCTGACAAGCAGGGGCTAGAACTCAGGTCTCCTCATTCCTAGTGCAACTGGCCAAGGGCTGTTGGCCCGGCCCCTCCGAGGTCAGAGCCTGTGACTGTGGGGGTGGGGGCCCACAGGACTAGGCTTCCATCCATAGCGCCCCGCCTCCCGGTGGCGTCTCCAGCCCTGGTCTGAATCCAGCCTCTCTTGAGCGGAGGTTGGCTCTGAACCTCCCAACACAGCCCGTGCCCCTGCTAGGGAGCGCAGGCGGCCAGAAAGCTCTTTCTGGAACCAGACCCTACACGGTCTCCCTGAGGCTTCTCCCTGGCTGTTCCAGCCTCCCGAGATCGCACAAGGTCTGTCCCCCACGGCCAGAGGACAGGCACCTGGGTCCATGCCTCGCCTGTTACAGCCCTTTCTCAAGAACGAACCTCCTAGTCCAGAACCCTGTTCTGTGGCTTGGACACGTTCAGATGGCCTCCACGGCCTCCCTGACACCGTCATCCTGCTGGTTTTCGTGACTGGAGTAAAACGCACGTCACCCCAAACACACCATCTTCACTCGCTTTATGTGCACAGTCCAGGGGCGTTCGCACTGACTGTCGTGCGACCGTCACCCCCATCCGTCTCCAGAACTTTCTCGTCTTCCCCAATTGAGACTTGGCCCATGAAACGCGAAGTCCACTCGCCCCCTCCCCCAGCCTCCAGTGACCTCTGTTCTTATCTTCTGTCGCTGTGAATTTGATTCGTCTGGGGGCCTCATGCTATCTGACTGTCCCTTATCCAAAATGCTTGTGACCTGTAGTGGTTTGGATTTTGTAATATTTACATATACATAATGAGATATCTTGGGGATGAGACCCGTGTCTAAATGTGAGATATTGGTTTCGTTTATATCTTATTATTGGTTTCATTTATATCTTATACACATAGCCTGAGGTTATTTGCCTTTTTTTGTTGTTGTTGAGTAGGAGTCTAACTCTGTCACCCAGGTTGCAGTGCAGTGGCACACTCACGGCCACCGCAGCTTTGACCTGCTGGGCTCTGGTGATCCCTCTGCTTCAGCCTTCCAAGTAGCTGGAACTACAGACATGCAATACAACTCCTGGCTAACTTTCTGATATATTGTAGAGACGAGGTCTCGCCAAGTTGCCCAGGCTGGTCTTGAACCCCTGGACTCAGGCAATCCTGTCGCCTCTGCCTCCCAGAGTGTTGGATGACAGGCATGAGCCACTGCGCCTGAAACAAAGTCTTGATGGCACTTTGACAGTGATGGGGGGAGCGCTAATTCCACTTGTGGCGACCTGTCGATGCTCAAATGTTTTGGACCTTGGCATTTGGAGTTTTGGGTTACCAGTGGAAGCCCTGATTTCACTGAGCATGACGTCTGCAAGCCTCATCCACGTTGTTGCCTGTGAGTGCATTTTCTTCCTTTTCAAGGCTGAATGATGCTCCCATGTGTGGTCACAGCACCTTCTGCGGCTCCATTCCACGGATGGGCACTGGCTGTTTTCACCGCTTGCCTATTGCGAATAGCGCTGCTCTCGGCAGCATGCTCCAAGACCTGTTCGAGTCCCTGCTTTCAATTCTCCCAGGTGGAGACACACCCAAGCAAGGCTGCTGGGCCCTGTGGTGATTCTAGTTCGCTTCAGAGTGACCTCCACGCTCTTTTCCATAGTGGCGGCGCCGTTTTGCACACCCACCTGCGACGCACAAGAGTTCTGATTTCTCCACAACCCGACACACAATTATTATTTTCTGTTTTGTTTTTTGGGACCAGCCATCTTCACGGGAGTGAAAGGGCATCTTGTTGCTGCCTTGATTTGCGTCTCCCAACAATGAGTGAGGCTGGCATGCCCACACATGCTTCTTGTCATGTGTGTGTCTTCTCTGGAGAAACGCCCGTCTGAGTCCTTGGCCCATTTCCAACGGAGCTGTTGTTGGCTGCTGTTGAGCCTGAGGTCCTCTATGCCATCTGGACGTCATCCCCTCTGTAGAGAGATGATGGACAGTGTCTTCTCCCATTCCATGGCTGTCCTTTCACTTCACTGGTCGTGGCTACTGCTGCACAAAAGCTTTACTTTTTTGCACAGTCCAGTTCATCTATTTCTTTGGTTGTTTATGCTATTGGTGTTGTACCCAAGAGGTCATTGCCAGACTCACTGCCATGGAGGTTTTCTTGCAAGAGTGTTATCGTTGTATTTCTCACCTTTAGG